TGAAAATGGAAACAACAGCAAAACAAGTGAGGCACATATCCTTCTGCTCATTCAGGCACAAAACCAAAATGGAAAACAGCTCATACAGCAGGAGTCATTTTCCTGCTGTGGCAATTATACCCCCAATTACCTAGTGCTGAAAGGCCAGGCAATATGGATAGGTAAGCACTGAAATGTAACACCCTATGAATGGAAGCCTTTGCAGCATGGTCATTGCTGGCAAAGGGAAATGCTGAAAATGATCAAGAAGAGAGCCATGTCCCAGGGTGGAAAAAACATTTTGTAGCTTCAAGAACATAGATCCTATTATTTGTGCATTTGTTAAAGAAAGAGAGAGAGAGAGAGATTATTTGAGAAGATCCATGCAGTTCACCTTCACCTTTGTTAGACACATTGAGCCCTGTTCTAAGTACAGAAATAATAATTTAATAAATTAACAATCACCCTGACTTCGGAAAAAGGAAGGCTGCTGTAAATAATCAGTGACCTGAGCATTATGAACACAACGTTTATATATCATATGTAAACAGTGACCTCCCTCCCTCCCTCCCTCCCTCCCTCCCTCCCTCCCTCCCTCCCTCCCTCTCTCTAATAAAGATTAAAATATGTTTGCATGTTTGTGAGTATATAATGCATGTTTGTATCTATGATTGTGAGTGATGGATTTCTAAGATGGCTCCCACTTCTAAAGAGTCCTGTGACTCCCTCCAATGATGGATCTGGAACAAATATAGAACACAGACCCGCCCCATGACAACAGAAAATATTGGAGAAGTTTTGGGGTAATTGACCCAGCATGATGGGACCTGCAGTCCCCCATACCCAGAAAACCTTGTAATCCCCACTAAGAACAGATGTGGACATACAGCCCCCCCCCCCCCCCATGAGCATCAGAAAATACTACAAAGGTTTGGCGATGATTGATCCAGCATGATGGGAGCCACACTCTTCTCACATCCAGAGAGCCCTGGGACTCTCCCCACCCCTTCCTGAGCAACAAAAAAATATTGGGGGGGGGGGGTTGGGGAGTGATTGATCCTGCATGATGGGAGCTGCCGTTCCCTCACACCCAGAAAGCTCTGTGATCCCCACCAATGATAGATCTGGACCAAACATGGTGCACAGACTTTCCATGACCAACAGAAAATGCAGGAGGGAGTTGGGGATGACGGACCTGGAATGAGGGGAGCTGCAGTCCACCCACATCCAAAAAACCCTGTGACCCCCACCAGGATATTTTATTATTTATTTATTTCGCACATTTGTATCCTGTCCTTCTCTCTCTCACACACACACACACACCCCGTGGGGAGGGGGACTCAAGGCAGCTTCACAAGGTAGTTTACAAAGGTTTCTTAAAACATAAATCGTAAAAACCAGAACAAGCATTTGCTCATTTTGTTCTCTCTTCTTCCTCTTCCTCCTTCTCTGTCTCCTCCTCAATATGTCAGTTTTCTCATTTTCTCCCAGCCTCAGTCTTTTTGCAAGAAAGGGTTTGAAATGCCCATGGCATATTGGTTAAAAAGCTCCATGCAGGAGCAGTTGGCACCTCAGTTGTGAAACAGTTAATATTTCATTTTCTATGCTTGAGCAAACCGAGTCAAGTCTACAGCCTTTGCCCAGTTTCCAGACTTGACATTCAAGCAACATTACAAGGATGTTTCCTCATTAACGTCCTACTTCCAAATTTTTGGCAAAACCTCCTTTGCTCTATCATCTATCTATCACACACTGTACTCTTTTAAACTTCCATAGGAATTAGAGCTGGCCCTCAAGGCAAGGCGTGTGTGGCTTTTATTTTGGCTTGCCTTTGTTTTTCCTCTGTATCCCTATATTGTTATCACTCAACACTGTGCTCTTACACTGCTGTGCCCAGCTGAACTTGATAGAATACATTATGCAAATCCATGGCCGCTCCTTGGGTATCAGCAAGAGAAATCTCGGTAACGTAAGCATTATTGTAGAGTTACTGATTAAAGTCAGCCGCGCACTGCCAAATGCCAAAACAGCCAGAGCTTTCATTGAAAGGGCAAGATGGGGACATTTGAAAGCAATGGAGGAGAATAAAGTAAGACATTACCTCAGGCTAGTAAAAGACACAGACACACTGACTTTTTGCACCTTAAAATGTAACTGTAGTTTGCTCATAATATTATGCATGAGAGGAATAATGATATTTGTGCTAAATCACCATTAGTGCATGGAGCAATGTCAAAGAGTGCCTGTGATTTCATTATTAGAGTAGGACTCTGGGGACCAGAGTTCAAATTCCACTTGGGCTTGGGAAAACACTGGGTGACCTTGAGTAGGTGACATTCACTGAGTCTCAAAGGTAATGACAAACCTGTTCATAATCTTGCGAAGAAAACCCGAGAGTCACTGTAAGTTGGAAGCATCTTTAAAGGCACACAAAAACAACAACATATGTTACAAAGTGTATTGTAGCTGTGTCCACAGAAAGCAGAGCTACAGTCATAGCTTTTGCTACTAACTGACAGTCAACAATTAGTATGTCACATCTGTTAGAAGTGAGACTGAAAAATGTCCTACCATGTCATGGTGATACCAACCAACTAATCTGTTCCAGAGCAGACATCTCTACAGTTAACGGCTTGAAGTTACAGGATAGTAGATTTTGTTTAAATATTGAAAGGGATATCTTGACAATAAGACAGGTTCAGCAATGCAGCCAGTGGTGAGAAAGGGGCCAGATATTTACCTGTTGGGAACACTTTAACTGGAGAACCTACGTTAAGCAGGGGGTTGAACTTAATGGCCCATGATGCCCCTTCCAACCCTATGATTTTATGAGTCTAATCCCCTATCCCCTAAATAGGTTCAGAAACTTGGATAATTAATTTAAAGTTCAAACTAAACCCCAGTACACATTTACTATCCCACTGAGAAAAGAGGATCTTTTATCATTTCCTGCTTTCAATATGAAATACTAATCGGTGATTCTCAATCTTCCTAATGCTGCAACCCCTTAATACAGTTCCTCATGTTGTGTTGACCCCCAACCAGAAGATTATTTTCATTGCTACTTCATAACTGTAATTTTGCTCCTGTTATGAATCGTAATGTAAATATCTGATATGCAGGATGTATTTTCATTCACTGGACCAAATTTGGCACAAATACAGAATGCTCCCAAATTTGAACACTGGTGGGGTTGGGGAGGGGGGGTTGATCTTGTCATTTGGGAGTTGTAGTTGCTGGGATTTATAGTTCACCTACAATCAAAGAGCATTCTGAACTCCACCAACAATAGAATTGAACCAAACTTGGCACACAGAATCCCTATGACCAACAGAAAATACTGGAAGGGTTTGGAGGGCACTGATCTTGAGTTTTGGAATTGTAGTTCACCTATATCCACTCAAACACTGATGAATCTGGGCCAAACTTGGCACTGATACTTTATATGCCTAAACATGAACACAGGTGGAGTTTGGGGGAAATAGACCTTGACATTTGGGAGTTCTAGTTGCTGGCATTTATAGTTCACCTACAATCAAAGAGCATTCTGAACCCCACAAATGATAAATTGGGCCAAACTTCCCACACAAAACTCCCATGACCAATAGAAAATACTGTGTTTTCTTATGGTCTTTGGTGACCCCTCCAACCCCCCAGGTTGAAAAACACTGTACTAGATAGTATATCAAGGACAGGTCAAGAACATTTTGCTTTCTGAAGCAAAAACATGATTGTCGAAGGCTTTCATGGCCAGAATCACTGGGTTGTTGTAGGTTTTTCGGGCTATATGGCCATGTTCTAAAGGCATTTTCTCCTGACGTTTCGCCTGCATCTATGGTAAGCATCCTCCGAGGTAGTGAGGTCACTACCTCTGAGGATGCTTGCCATAGATGCAGGCGAAACGTCAGGAGAAAATGCCTTTAGAACAGGCCATATAGTCCGAAAAAACCTACAACAACCCAAAAACATGATTACATCTCCATCATTCCACCACATACAGAAAGTCATAAACTAACTCTTACTTTGAAGCTGGCAAAGTAACAACACTGAACCACTAACCTTGTGCAACAGGCAGGTTTACAAAAGGACAGATTGTATGATGTGTAAAAATCTGTCGCTCTTTACAGGGAACATTATAAATACAGAAGATGAACAACACAGAGGCTGACATTGTAACCCCTCAGTATCTACCTCCTGAAGTAGACTGTTTCATTCTGTCCAGTTGTTGTTATGTGCCTACAAGTCTTTGCTGAACTTTGGTGGACATAACATGAAATTTTCATGGTTTTTCTTGGCAAGAGTTATTCAGAGGTGGGTTGCCATTGCCTACTCCTGAGGCTGAGAGTGTGACTTGTCCAAGGTCATCCAATGAGTTTCTCTGGCCAAGCAAGGATTTGAATGCTGATTTCTCAGAGTCCTAATCCAACACTCAAATCGCTAATAATAATAATAATAATAATAATAATAATAATAATAATAGTAATAATAAAAAATAACAAACTATATTTATACCCTGCCACCATCTCCCCCAATGGGGACTCGGGGCAGCTTACATAAAGCCAGGCCCAAACAACAAATTACAGCAAAGTAAAACCAAAAACACAAGCAACAAGCAACAACATCATAATTACATAATAATAAAAGAAAAAAACATATAAATACATTAGCAATAAATAATTACAATCACAGTGGCAATGGGCGGGCCACATGTGCAGAATAAAATGATAAAAAACTCGGGTGAGATAAAAGGAGGAGCAGGTTATTTGCAAGAGCTTCAAGATAATGAATTGTCTTTTTCAGTAAGAATTGTAACCTTTAAAAATGATAGCCTTAACTGGGTGATGATGAGATAACATATAATCGAATTTGATGAGGAGAGAATCAAGCATGCAAGCCCACTAAATAGATAAGTGATGGTCATATAGTTCAAGGTTGTTATTTTATGTGTCTGTTTGTGTGGGGGGAGGGGTTCAGAAAAGCAAGGAATTGTTTGATTTATCACTGCAGCAAAGTCCAGGGCAGTCAGCTGTTAAGAGGGAAGAGAATGGCTGGCAGTGTGGAAGCTTAGAATTTGCTTCAGTGCTAGCAAGTAAGCATATTTTCTTTGACCACTCTTGCAAGAAGAGGAGTTTAAAAGATCTTGCTGCACAGATAAAAACCGTTGTGATTTTCTACACTCAAATTCCTTTTTTTTTTACTCAGTTGTTTCTCACAGAGGCTGAAGGAGGGACAAAGGAGGATGACTCTGCAGGGATGGATCTAGAAATGTATGGAAGGGCCAGGAGCTGGCAAGTATGCAAAAGTGGTGAGTACAGCTAAGTGGCAGGGATCAAAAATAATATTGCCAACCGACCCCAAAAAGCCAGCCTTGTTTACTCTTCAGCAGGTAAAGCTTTTTATGGCACATAGAAAAGCCTCCCCAGCTGTCCATTGCTGCATACAAAAAACCCCCACAGTACAATCACTTTGGGAATTCACAACATGAACTAACAAATTTGATAAAAGTATGATTGCATATAACTAAGGTTTTTCCAATGGAATCAGGATTGAAAATAAATACATGGCATTCACAACAACCAACTATTCCTGAGGTTTTGTTTATTAAACTGAACACTTGCCATATCGGCAGCTGTTTTATTGTTTTATATTTTCCATACATTCTTCGCTTGAGAATGTCCAGAGCCTGAACTATCTGCATTCATTTTCTTTTGGAGTCTTAAATACAATATAGCCTGCATATTCACAGCAAATATGTTCTTAGATTTGTTGTGGACATGTGAAACCAGAGAGAACATATTATTTTGGATGCAAGTAAGTGAAATTGTGGATATTGGTCCCACAGATATAGAAGGAAAGAGTAACCAATATATATATATTGGTCCCACAGATACAGAAGGAAAGGGTAACCAATATATAATCCTCCCATCAAGCCAACCAAAATAGACAATGGTAAGAATGTAGGTAGCTACAGTCCAATAGCATCTTTCTTAGGGTACTTCCAGACAGCACTCAAATCTGTGGCAAAGTGGGCTTTTAAAACCTGCTTTGGCACAGATTTGAGTACCCACACCCACCCCAAAAACCTGGACTTTATTGGGGAGGGGGTGTTCCCATGTTATCCTGGTAATTACTGTGATGGCATGAGACCAGCCGGAAGCCCCCCAAAATAAACCCTTAAAATGCCAAACAACTTACTCGTCTGCCATTGCAGGAGTGGGAATCATGTGAACCTCTAGATCTTATTGAACTTCAATTCCCATCAGTCCCAGCCAGCATAGATAAGGAATTGTGAGGAATGCTAGGAATTGCAGGCTAACGATACCTGGAGGGCTGCAGTATGTCTAATCCTGCCTTACCAATGGCTGAGTTCAATGAGACAATCTCTTCCTTCCCTTGTTATTCATCTCTCTTGGAGCTGTTTGCAAATACCCATGACTGCCTTTAACTACTTGAACATATGCAGATGCTAGAAGAATACATGACAAAGGGAATAGACACATATCAAAAGAGCCACATATTTTGGCCCCTTGAAGTTTACCTTGGGCAAGTTTTCAGATGTCCTGACAGTTAGATCAGTATAAGAATTTATTTGTTAGGAAGGCTTTTGTTCCTGTCTCTGCTTTCATATCCATTTTGTATTTGAACTTAAGTTTGTAATAACTGTGGCACTCCTTGGGACACCAATCTGTTATAGAGGAGAGGAAAAGCTTTCTTGATTTGCAGGCAATGCTCTCAAGAGAATTTTGGAGGCTAGCACTTACAGTTAATGTGAACTGACATGTATTGCCTATGCTGATGGTGAACTCTAGAAACTGCTCCAAAGACTGCGCAGATCTCTTTGTGCTCAGCCCCCAGGATTGTTCTGTCTCAGAATCAAAACAGAGGGTGGAATCTAGCTTTTATTGTCCAACCAGAATTAAGCTGACAAAGGACCCTTGGCTTCATTTGTCCTAGTAACCTTGATATAGGTAACCTTGTATGTTTAGGGGGAATTTTGTTAGCAGAAAAAGTTAAACAGAGTGGAAACAGTCAGGAAAGGCACAGTTCACAGCTTTTGAAGGCAGGAGGAATATAGTCTATTACTCGAATTAAAAAAAAAAGAATGAATTTTCCTGTTAGCAGTTTAAAACTATTTCTACCACATTTTATTTCATGTAAGTTTTTGTGAACCATCCCATTTACATATCCTCCAAGATATCATAGATGAAAACTGGGGCATATGAAGCCAAACAGCATCAGTGTATAATAGAGGTGACAAATATCTATACACATAACAAAAGCGAAAACATTATGTGTGTATGTGACTAAGGTGCCCACTTCCACAGACAGGCTCCCACTTCCACAAACGGCTATAACTCACAGTGCTGAGTAGCCACCAAAAGTATTCCCTCCAGTGACATTTCAGGTTATAATGAGTGCCATGAACACATACCCAAATCTTGCCAAATTCCTTCCCGAACACTGTGGCCCACCACCCAAGGAATTCTTTCATTCGGGACAATTTCATCCTAGATTTTATGTGTTTCCTCCACAGTAAACATCCCAGTGTTTCTTACTCTCTCCATTGGTGTGGCATTTGCATGATCCCACCCACTGCCTCTCCCTTAACCCTTTCCTACTCTTTTCAACTCTGTATGCATAACAAACAGAGCAGAACTGAGCAGCAACTAAACTTACTGGGCGAGTTTGGGGGATTGACTCCACATGATGGAAGTTGTAGTTTACCCTGCATCAAGTCAGAGCACTGTGACCCTCACTGACAATTGACCTGGACAACATTTGGCACAAAGAACTCTCATGACAAAAGAAAAATACTGGAAAAGTTTGAGGCAAATTCACCTTGATTTATAGCCATTGTAGGTACTGGAATTTATAGTTCAACTGCAATCAAAGAGCACTCTGCACCCCACCAACAATGGCCCTGGACCTAACTTAGCACAGACCCCCTCCCCATGACAAACAAAAAATGCAGGGGGGGGGGTTTGAGGAAAATTCACCTTGATTTATAGGAAGTATAGTTCACCTACATCCAGAGAGCACTGTGAAGGCAAAGAACAATGGATCTGCACCAAATTTGGCACGTATATCCAATATGCCCAAATTTGAATACTGATTGATTTAAGGTGGAATTCGCCTTGACATTTGTTAGTTGTAGGTACTAAGATTTATAGTTCACCTGCAATCAAAGAGCATTCTGAATCCCAACGATGATGGACCTGGACCTAACTTGGCACACAGAACCCCCATGACCAACTGAACGTACTGGAGGGATTTGACGGAACTGACCCACCATGGTGGAGGTTGTAATTCATCCTGCAGCTGGAGAGCATTCTGAACCCCGCCGATGATGCATCTAGAGCAGATTTGTCCCACATGACAAACTTTAACTATTTATAGACTTTCAAGGGATTAATCTGGCATGATATGAGTTGTAGTAAACCCACTAACTTATGCATTTTGTTAAATTAAAAAAATGACATCTTATAACCCGGGCAATGCTAGGTACCTATGCTGGTAAATTAATTAAAAAGTGCAGGCAAAGTAGAGGAGGATGCAGGATTGTGCATTTGGCTGTTGTTGACTTATAGCAACACTTTGGATGAGAAACCTCCAAAGTCAACCTGTTATTAGCATCGCTATGGATATGTAAGATCCCATGTTACCCCTTGTATCCCCAGACAGGATAAAAAAATAGTGAAACCTGCCTGAAACACCAGACAATCCATGCCAGCTGGAGTTGACAGTATAGTACTAAATAGTCTGACTCAGTACAAGACAGCCTCTTCTTCCTGTCATCCTGACTTCAGCAGGATTGTTTCTAAGTCTGTATAGCATTACAGTACACACATCTGGGTGGAGAATACAAACATAAGCAAAAGAGTAGCAGGATGCTGGTTGGCACTGCTTGTTGTATTCAAAATGTTCTAAATTTAAGGTGCATTGAAAATGGAAGCTACATTTTGATTGTACTGTGGAATAGCGTACGATTATTCTAGGCAGCTGTCTAGTATGAATTTGTTCTGGACCGCGAAACAAACACCAGTTAAATGTAGTTAGTGATTTGATCATAGTGCTGGTGTCTGTACAGAGAACATGTGCTCTGCTGATCAGATTGAATGATGTGGTTAGTGTGTGTGTGTGTGTGTGTGTGTGTGTGTGTGTGTGTGTATATATATATATATATATATATATGCTACTATTCTTTAAGCAGTATCAGATGCTTTCCTCCACTCACCTTGAAATTAACTTGCTTTGTTTTGCAATTGGTCATTGGTGGGTCAACATAGACTTTCTTGACAGATATGATGTTTATGAAGAATCAGAAGAAATCTTATTGCCTCACAGAAAATATAAATTTCCCTTTAAGTCTTTTTTTTTGGGCTACAGTCCCTCAACTTTATACCTAAAAATTACCTTATTTATGACTCGTGCCATCTTCTTTATGTAATATTAACAGTTTTAACTATTTCATTCTAATAGTGGTTGCCTATCTCAGGTTCCGAGATACTATTGGACTAGTGGCTAAAGTCAAATGTGGGTGATGTGAATTGCAATTAGATGGCACTAGACTAGGAATCACTGTTTTATGAACTCAAACTTGTTAAAGCTGGTTAGCTTATTCAACTTTATACATGGACCCTGTAGCTTCAAGTACAGTTTTATTTTTTTATTTTTTATTTTATGTTTGTTATATGGGACTAAACACAACAATGAAGCCCACTTTAGCACTAAAGGATTTTGTAACACAATGGATGGGGAAAAAAATCCGTATTTACTGAGAGTTCTTCTGACTTGTGTTCCATGAATTTGTGTTCCATGAAACTGTAAATGAAGTAGTGTGTGCATATTTTGAGTTCAAACCACCCTTGACCATCCAATTTTTCCCCTCTTTTGCTTTTGAAATTATGGTGTACAACTAAATGTACTGAACAAAAATGTGCACATTTGGGAAAAGATCGTGAATTTGCTTTAATCAGAGACAAATGATTTTTTCTTAAATTCATCCATTAAGAAAAATCAAGTTCTTGCCATCCTCAAATATGAACAAAATACTGTGCAGAGAGAGATAATGTCAGATATTGGATGTGAAAAGCCTGTTATTGGGGTTATGCAACAAAAATAAAATCAAGAGATTCCCACCAGTTAACCTGAAAACAAACACTTTTCTATTGTTAACTGTAAAAAGTATTGTTTCAATACACTGTACTGAGAATCCAGATGAGAATATTATCCTCATTTTACAGTGAGAGAACTGCAAGACTCATCTGGGTGGCTTGTTTGGATACTGGGGAGGCCAGCAGATCGCCAGTGTCCTGCCTACTTAAGGGAGTCACCAGCTTCTTCTTCCCAGTAGCCAATGCAGCTTGGCATGGCACAGGGAGAAGTGGGAGCCACCAGCCAATGTTTAAACTGCTGATTGGACCTCATTGGCTGGTGGACTTCCCTGGTGTAATGCAGATGTGGGTTCCACTCCAGTCAGGTGGGAAAAATCTTAAGATTCTCATCCCAAGGGTTCCAGCAGAAAGCTGGAAGAATTGACATCTATCAACAAGTGAGGGGGTCAATGTCTAGATCTGTACTCATGCACATGCCAAGTTTTTCTAGAGTTGTAAATAATAAAAGTTGTGGCATTTATATTCAAATTTATTTGTGATGTGGTGTATTCATTACATGTAGCAGACTCTCCCCTGATTGTTCAATCATTAAAAGCAAACCTTAAAGCAGGGATTTTAGGTGATGGTGGATTTTAACTCCAACCACCCATTGGGCAATGATGAAGCTAAAATCCAACTAAATCTGAAAACACCGTGATTGGAAAATGCTGGTTTCTTCTTGGAGACTTCAGTTCTTAGAGTCTTTGCTTTTTTGCTGTTTATAGAAGTGGGCAGTACAAAAGCTGCTGAATTTTATAATCTCTAGAAACACACAATGAAAAATATGTTCCATATTTCTTCTCTGTGTGCCTGCCTGAGTGGGTTGGTAGGAATGCACAGAGAGAAATTCCCTGCTGTAGAGTAATCTGTAGAGAAAATATGTGGCATTCTCTTCTCATTGGACATAGAAAAAAATAGTTCACATATTTTAATAATAGTCACACACATACACACATATAGAATCATAGAGCCATCAAGAGATCAAATGGACCAGCTAGTCCAACCCACTGCCATGCAGGAAAAGCACAATCAAAGCTCCCCTGACAGATGGCCATCTAACCTCTGTTTAAAACCCTCCAAAGAAGGAGCTTCCACCATACTCTGAGGCTGTGGGTTCCACTGTTGAACACAGCTCTTATGGTCAGGAAATTCTTCCTAACGTTCAAGTGGAATATCCTTTCCTGTAATTTGAACCCATTGCTCCGAGTCCTAGTCTCCAGGGCAGCTGAAAACAAGTCTGCTCCCTCTTCCTTATGACATCCTTTCACATATTTATACATTGCTATTATGTCACCTTTCAATCTTCTCTTCTGTAGGCTAAACATACCCAGCTCTTTAAGATGCTCCTCATAAGGCATGGTCTCCAGACCTTTGATCATTTTAGTCGCCCTCCTCTGGACACCTTCCAGCTTGTCAATACTGTGCCCGGAATTGGGCACAGTATTCCAAGTAAGATCTGACCAAAGCAAAATAGAGAGGCACCATGACTTTCCTTGATCGAGATGCTATACTCCTTTTGATGCAGCCCACAATCCCATTGGCTGTTGTAGCTGCTGCATCACCTTGTTGGCTTTGTTTCATTTGTTGTCCACTAAGACAATAAAAAAGCAGAAATTATAAACACTGACTTTTAATGACTCCATGAAATCTTCTGTCTCAAGTCAGCCATTCCCTCTCTTTCTCTCTCTTACTCACTCTCTCTCTCTCTCACACACACACACACACAGACTTGCACTCACACATGCAGTTTTAATTTTGACTCATAGGTCTTTATACTATAGTTTCAGCAAAGTTATACTGTAAAAGTGCATTTCTAGAAATTAGTTGTGGGTGAACCATTGTGAAAACCCAAGTTCCTGCTCCCAATACAAGCAAGTGGGCTAAAGGGCTTCTTCTGTTCATGGTTCCAAGTATGCCATCAAGACAATCACGGAGGCTATTCAACTCCACTATGCAAAGGACAAGTGGGTGTCACAAGAAAAGCTATCTGTTAGCAGCCCTCTTTACTGAACCAAATGAAATTATAAAAATGTGTGTAGGCCATGCAGTCATTCTGGGACTTGTTGCTATTTTGTAGTAGCTGGATTGGACTTCATTCTGTGCAGCTCAGGCCATTCCCCAAATACTAGAATGTGTAATTCCATGGATGAGATAATAAAGATATTATTCTGCATGAACGAATAATTTTGAACGGAGAGTCTACGGTACTGCAAAACACACCAATTCTCCGGTTATTTCGTTTTGATTTTTTAAATATCACCAATTTCTGAATCTAACTTATGCTTTCTCCCCTCCCCCATCCATCCGATGTAGTAAAAATCTCTAAGGACTCATGAGGCTGTCTAAGGACCTCATCACATTGAAGTCCCTAACGCAGGTGACAGCAGGAGAATTTTCCAGGCAGCATGGTGAATTCTGTGCGCCACATCACCCACATTGCCACCTTCCCAATCACATGGGGGAAAGTGTCACCATCCAGCTTCCCCCTGCACTGGTCCTATTGTAAGCCATGAGAACATTGTAGGATATGAGAACACAACGGTTTCCCCTGCTGTCCCTCAGATTCACCATACTGCCTGGAAAATTTCCCCCACTGTCACTTGCGTTGGGAATCTCAACGTGATGAGATAGGCACCCATGTTCTAAGGGCTCCGTCCTAGGATGCTTCCAGGATGGGGCCCTGTCAGAAGTAGCCCTGTGTTGTGAGAAGAGCTCGAACAGTCTCTATCTTGGCTCTGTCGAAGAATAGAACCAGAAATCCACATGAAAAGGTTTTCACCTAATAAGACTGGTTGCTTGTCATTTTGCTTCTCAGCCATTACCCTTTCAAACCTAGAATCACTGTTGGGTGTATGGTTTTGGTGGGTGCTTTGTCCTACATAGAAACCTTTTCCAAGCTTTATATCAAATCTCTTTGAAGGATTATGTAAGGGTGTTTACCCTTCTCAATGAACAGAAAAATAGAAACAGTGATCAGTGTATTCATGTTAAGATAGCCAAACAAACAACAATCAACACAAGCACAGTTCATGCAAGCTATTTTATTAATGAGATTGAGGAGAATCAATATGTATATTGTATTGTCGAAGGCTTTCATGGCCGGAATCACTGGGTTGTTGTAGGTCACTGAAGGATGCTTGCCATAGATGCAGGCGAAACGTCAGGAGAAAATGCCTCTAGAACATGGCCATGTAGCCCGAAAAAACCTACAACAATCCAATATGTATATTGGCTATATTTACATTAAGAAAAAAAATGAGATACATGTTTTTGTGATCCTGACAGTTTCTCAAATAAAGACTGTGTGTATTATGGAACTACGTGTCTTCAAGTCATCTGATGACTTAAAGTTGCAGAAATCAGAGCACAATGTATCTCCCGGGCAAGAGTTGGCTTTTCTACATCACATGATTCCATACCTGAGTCCACTGGAGAGGGACTACAAGGAGAAATACTGTAGATCAGTCAGTTTGTATTTGTGAACTGGGCAGGCATAATGCCAGCAAGCAGAGTAAAGAAGCGATTGACCTATCAAAAGTAGCACAAAAAGTCAAGAAACTGAATGATGCTGCTGACACAAATAACTCTGAAGAAATGTGGTCCACTTTTATTTGCTATGCTAGTCAATCAATAGATCCAAGAAGGCAGGCCCCGAGATAAAGATCTAAAATGGAGTCTGATAAATATATATTCACAAAGAGGGTAGGCTGTCTGAAGACTGCTCTAGCCACCTGCAGTTTGCATGCTTTTGTTGTTAGGTAATGCGTATAATTAGAAAACAGGAAATGAGAAACCAAGCAAAGCTTAGTCTCTTATTAGCTGGAAAGGTCATGTGATAATGCTAGCTGGTAGAAATAAGGTGAATGATAAAACTATTTTTCTAGTGTCAGCCATTGTCCTACATATACAAGAAATGCATGCATGTTCTCTGTTTTTTGCTTTTTTGTAGACCTGAATAAATTATTTTCTTTTGGTCCAAGCAACATCTGCATCATTTTTACCTGTCCTTGAATTCAGGAGCTGTTTTCCCTGCCTGGTGAGTACTACAAGCACTCACGCGCTTATATGGAATGATGCACTCAATTGAATTAGCCATTAGCTCTGAAGACCAAATTGACTACTGTACATTGTATTAATGCTTTGCAGTGGTGTTAGTTTATTCATAGGTTTTGTTTCCTTTGTGGACCTAGCAAAAGGATTGCTTTCTATAGGACAGTGATTGTCAACCTTCTTATTGCCACAACCCCTTAAAACAGTTTGTCATGTTGTGGTGACACTCCCCGCCCCCCTCCACACACACACCATACATTATTTCTGTTGCTGCTTCATAACTGTAATTTGCTACTGTTGTGAATCATAATGTAAATATCTGATATGCAGGATGTATTTTCATTCATTGGATCAAATTTGGCACAAACACCCAATACTCCCAAAATTGACTACTGGTGGGGTTGAGGAGTGATTTTGTCATTTGGGCATTGTAGTTGCTGGTATTTATAGTTAATCTACAATCAAAGAGCATTCTGGACTCCATCAATGATGGAATTGAACCAAACTTGGCACACAGAACTTCTATGACCCACAGAAATTACTGGAAGGATTTGGTGGGCATTGACCTTGAGTTTTGGAGTTGTAGTTCACCTACATACAGAGAGCACTTTGGACTCAAACAATGATGGATCTGGACCAAACTTGGCATGAATACTCAATATGCCCAAATGTGAACATAGGTGGAGTTTAGGGAAAATAGACCTTTGCATTTGGGAGTTGTAGTTGCTGGAATTTGTAGTTCACTTACACCTACAATCAAAGAGCTTTCTGAACCCCACCAATGATAGAATTGGGTCAAATTTCCCACACAGAACCCCCATGCTCAAAAGAAAATACTGTGTTTTCTGATGGTCTTTGGTGATCCTTCTGACCCTCTTGCGACCCCCCCCCCCCCGGGGTCCTGACCCCTGGGTTGAGAAACACTGCTATAGGAGATCCAAGGGCAGAGAAGATTCCTACTTCTTTTGCTAGAAGTTGATTTATGAAGCTGAACAGGTATGGACCTGGGGACATATCTAAATAGAAAACTGCCTGAAGGCCTGCCTGTATCACCTTGACATCCACAACACATTAAAAATGAATTATTAATACAATCTGCCATAAATTTAGTATATTTGAAAATGAGATTGAACTACAATCAAATTCTGCACATTATTCTTCTACATTTTGTACCTAATGACTAGTTACAAAATGGCTTTAATATCCATTCAGATTTCAGATGCTGCGGTATGCGATTTCTAACAGTAGTATAAAATATTTATATGGGGAAATTACCTTAGAGAAAAAATGTGGAAGAATAACATGCAGAATTTGATTGTTGATCAATGTCATTCAAATCTTTATTACTCATTTTGAAAACCCAATTACGAGAGAATATCAGCCAACAAAATCAATCATTACTAAAAGGAAAACCAAGTAACACTCATATTCACTGGGTTATGCTGTTGCATAGAAAGCAGCAGAGGAACTTGGAATCAGACTGGAATCATGGTCCAGTCTAATCATCACTGTGCTTGGTAAAGTATATAAAACTGTAAATGCTATGTTAATTTATATTTCTTTGATATGTAGAAAAAACAATGTAGATAATAAAATGTGATTTATTAATAAAGGTTACATTTTATTTTTCTTCTAATATGTACATGAAAAGGAAATGAGTACTCTAATAATTCGAATTAATATGTTATAGAGGAGAACCTTCACGGTTGTATCTTTAACTATGTTGAATGATCTCCACATTGAAATTAGGAGAAATTCCAGTATTCCGCATTTCCACTATCAATGGAAGACTTTTTCATTTTCCTAATTGTTAGTTGTGTTTGGTCTGTAATTAATTGTTTTGTGATATGCTTTTTTTCATTATTTAATCCTTTGTCCCTTTTCACCATAGCTTTATTGTGCCTGTTTTTATTGTGATGTACTCTTGCGTTTTTCAAATGAAAAGTGGCATACAAATATTAAAAAGTAATAAATAGGCAGAGGTAAATCATGCACCTTAAAAATCTACAACACCACAATTTTCATTGTTTTTTAAATAACAAATGTTGTTTAAGTACATACGAAATTTCGGAAATTACGAAACAATTACGAAACAATTACGAATCGATTCGTTAATGGCGGACGCGACTGCCCAATACGCTAAAAAAACCTCCAAATGGGACAGGGGGAACTTCTGAAGCTTCCCTTTCCCTCTGTTGTTGACTGTTGGTGTGATAATTTATTTTTTTATCACTAAGAAAACAAACAACAATTATAAAACTTGCACCAGACATACAGAAGTAATAACGAAAGAATTTCGAAACGATTTCGAAACGATTTCGAAACGATTTCGAAACGATTTCGAAACGATTTCGAAACAATTACGAAACATTTACGAAATGAATTGAAAAATTCGTTTCGATTTTTAGTTGCTCCTAAATGGTTCAATATCGGTTCGTAAGCTAATTTAAATACGAATCAATAACGAATTACGAAATTAACGAACGAAATCGCCCAGCCCTACTAACTTTAAATGCTGCTGGGATTTGGAGGGGATTGACCTTAGAGGCTGAGAGTTATAGTTCGCCCACATCCAGAGAGCATTGTGCACCCAGCCAATTATAAATCTCAACCAAATGTGGCACACATACCCAACATAACCCATTTTAAATGCCGATTGATAAATAGCATTACAAAATCCCTAACCAGGGCATCGTCAGATACTTAAACTAGTCTCTCTCTCTCTCTCTCATATATATATACATACACACACACACACACATTATTTAATCACACCCTTTATCCTGGTTTTTCTCAGATTTTAAGGTATGTGTAGAAGGGCCCTAGATTGTTACTTCATATATTCATATTAGTTTGTTAGGTAAAAAAAAGATGGCAAAAATTCCAAATATGAAGGTTTCTGATTTATGATTAATAGTATTCTTTCACCCTTTTTTGATCCCATTTTGAACCCTACTTATTACCTCAAGCTAAAAAGAAGAAAATTGGAGAACATGTTAAAGTGATGGAGAGCTTATCGTTATCGGTGAAAGTGCTTGCTGAATCTCTCCACTTGGGTGATACTACTGATCCATGTACATGTGCGTGCACAAGCATACATGTGCACATAAACTATTTATGCCCAAGCTAACCTACCTTGAAAATTCTTCCATCTCAAAACCTATAGACCTACATATCCTACACCCTGCCTATGTCACCATAACTCCCCCCACCCACATCCTTCATCACCCATAGCTTCCAATAACAACTAAATGGGTAAGAGAGTTCACCTGGGAACTTTACAAAAAGCTATTAGACAGCCCTCTGAGAAAAGGAATCAAGAAATGTATTAGCACATAACTCTAGGTGTTGCTCGTAGATAATAAGAGAATAAGTTTTTACTGTTAACTCTCAGAATCAAGTGCAACTCTCACACTGAAGAAAATAAGTGCAAAAGAAGCAATGAACTTGAGAAACACCTGCTTCTCAGAGGATATCCTCCTTATATCAAGCAACAAACCAATTTTACAAGAGGAAATCTCTATGAAAGAGATGAGTCAAGCAACAGTGAACAATACATTGCATTTACAGTGGAACAATATATTCCATTTAGTTAGATTTCCATCTTCACCACCACATGACAATGAAAGCAAGCTATCCATTGTTAGCCAGCTCCAAATGTATTGGTTAATCTTTCAGCAAGCATCCTATTTTACCACCCTTCAGATTAATGGGGTTTACTAGTGAAAGGTGTATGTGAATTGCTAGCCATTAACCTTACATGAAGCCATTGTGAAACCAAGAATTTCATCACTTATTTGTAGCTAAAGAAGACAAATGATCTTGAACAACCCCACATTAGCAGATCCTTCTATACTAAACAGAACTTCATTTGCCACCAACAGGTCCTTCCTATACCAGTAGTTCTCAACCTTCCTAATGTCGTGACCTCTTAATACAGTTCCTCATGTTGACCCCCAACCATAAAATTATTTTCATTTTGACTCCACAACTGTAATTTTGATACTGTTATGGATCTTAATATAAATATCTTATATGCAGGATGTATTTTCATTCACTGGACCAAATTTGGTACAAATACCCAATATGTCAAAATTTGGGAGGGGGGTTAATTTTGTCTTTTGAGAGTTGTAGTTCCTGGGATTTATAATTAATCTACAATCAAAGAGCATTCTAAACACCAGTGATGGAACTGAACCAAACTTGGCACACAGAATTCCAATGATCAACAGAAAATACTGGAAGGATTTGGTGGGGATTGACTTTGAGTTTTGGAGTTGTAGTTCACCTATATCCAGAGAGTATTGTGGACTCAAACAATGATGGATCTGGACCAAACTTGGCTCAAATACTCAATATGCCCAAATGTGGCCATACAGCCAGGAAAACTCAGAGCAACCTAGTGATTCCAGCCATGAAATCCTTCAACACATTGTCACTTCTGTTAATGAGATTGTGGTTCTGTCCTGTTGAAGTACACAAAATTAAACTCTTATACAAATACCACTATGTTAAATGAACATGTCTCTTTTCATAGAATCATCCAATCTAGTACCTGGATGAATATTTGAATAACCAGATTGAAAGATAATGAATTTGTCTAATAACTCAATAATTAATTTGGTTTTAATGTATAAGCTAAACAATTTTGAGTGTATTAGACTGCACTTTTAAGTTTCTCCTGTTTTATATTGACTGGTGATGATTAGTGTACCCTTAGCTTTTCTCATTATAGCATTTCTGGGGAATGACAATAAATGTCAAAGAGTCATAGAACAGGCAATATATTTTGGAAAAATATCACATTATATTAAGTTGTATTCCCTGTTCCCACACTCTTGGCTATGTATACTATCTTAGCTTGCATGTTTTTAATCTATTTTTAAAGAGTTGCTAAGAACTTATCCTGTTGTAAATATTTGTGGTATATTATGTTATGTTTATTTAAGTTTGTTGTTTTTATAATTTTTATTGAGATTGTTT